CTATTTGTGCATCAGGTGTCACGCATCTACTGCCATGGTTTGTGCAGTGGTTGCGGTTTAGGGTGGACCATGAGCCTTGGGTCGTTCACAACAAGATGTTTGCTCACGAGTTCTTTTGAACTCAATTCAGCTTTCCAAGCTCCATCGGCGTTCAACTTGCATTGTTAAAGGTTAAGCGCAATGGTACAAAAGGACTTCAAGCGTTATTAAAGTACTCTTATGTTTTTTCGGTAAAGTTACGTAGGTAAAAAAAATAAAAATAAATGAACAATATCTAAATTCATTTATGATTATTTTATCATAATTTTATTACCCACGTGACTTTACCGAAAAAACCTAAGAGTATGAATCCTTGCAGTCACGAAAGCTTCAAATCTAGAATACGTTATTAGTCCCGATGAATGTGAAGGCGACTGTTTCCCTCGATTTGCAGGACTTCCCGGAGAGTTGCAACGTTGCGGCGGATGGGTCGGGGGAGAGATTTGTGACGGCACAGGCAGCCAAGGTGTTGGGCGTCGACTTGAGGGTTCCAGTACCTCACCGGTGACATGCAGGGTGAACGCCGTGGCTTGCCGTACGGGGATGTAATTGCGTTGCGGCGGAGTGGCGCTTTAACCGTTGTGATGCACCGAGTGAGATTGTCGTGAGCTGCAACCGGGGTGCCGATTGTTCTCGTGTCAGCTCGCTCGCCAGCCAGGGCTGAAGACCAATCCTCGCAAGGGGAACCTATCGATTAGATACGCAGCAGCGTTTCGCATGCAACTGCGTCGGACGTCGCCAGGACAAGACGCAGGATGTCAGAATAGCCGTGTCACCTGACCTTTATTCCTTAAACAGGTCGACGTAGCCCTTAAGGGTTTGGGACACATTCCTGCAGACGTGGCAAGATCGGAAATCGCTGCAATCCTCAAAAACGCTAAGACACCCATTAGCAACATCAGCGAGGATGAGCACTTTGAGCTTTCTCAACTAAAAGAGAGAGATGACATCGTCATCCTCTCAGCCGACAAGGGCAATGCCACTGTCATCATGGACAAAACCACAAACAATAACACAATTCAGGACTTACTAAATGATGGCAGCTATACCAAAATCAATAGAGATCCGACCAGCCGCCTGGTTACGAAAACCAACAATATCACTGATTCGACATCTTTAATCGAACCAACCATGCGGCTTTCCTTCAAACCCTAGACCGCCCAGATTTTATGGCTTACCAAAAATCCACGAAGAAGGTACACCACTCCGTCCTATCGTCTCCACCATTGACTCACCCACCTACAAACTGGCCCGATTTCTGTCTGAGCCCTTACAACCAATCACTGATAAGACCTCCTCAGCTGTACTTAACTCAGCTCACTTGGTATCGCTAATTAAGGACTTCTCCCTATCTCCAGGTGATTTGCTTGTCAGTTTCGATGTAGTGTCTTTGTTTACCAAATAATTGAATAACTGGTTCCAACAAGGACTGAATGCTGATGTACCGGTCCTGGCTAGACACTGCCTCACCAACACTTACTTCACCTGGAATGGAACATTCTACAAACAAGTTGAAGATACCCAAATGGGTTCTCTCTTATCTCCAGTTGTAGCCAATGTTTTCATGGAAAAAGTTGAGACAGATGCCATCCAGGCATCCACCCTACATCCTTCCTTGTGGAAGAGATACGTAGATGGCACGTTCATCATCTGGCCACATGGCCTACCAGTGCTGGGCCAATTTTTCAACCACATCAATTCCATACACCCAGCCATCAAATTAACTATGGAGGTAGAAAAGGATGGCAAGATACCATTCTTGGATGTGTTAATCGAAAAGAGACCAGATGGCTCAATGGGACACTGTCTACAGGAAAGCCACCCATACAGATGCCCACTTAAAACCTGACTCCCACCACCATTCATCCCAGAAGAATTCCTTCATCAAAACTCTACACCATAGAGCTCGATGTATTTCCGACCATCACCACCTAGCCAGTGAACTGGAGCACGTACACAACGCCCTCAAGTTTAATGTATATTCGGACTACACAATCCATAAAGCCATCACCCCAACCTTTGGGAAAGAACCATCTGATGACCCAATCAAAACCATCACCTTGCCATACATAGCAGGTGTTACCAAAAAGATTTCCAAAATCATGAGCAAACACAAGATCCAGGTTCGATTCAACACAGTACGTAAAATTCGTGATCTGATCCCATCTGTGAAGGATGTGATCCCTGACATGCAATACCCGGGTGTCTACAACTAAGCTTTGGCTGCAGCAGTAGTTACATTGGGGAAACTAAGCGACATGTTTCGGACCATGTTCGTGAACACAAGGCAGATCTGAAACACGGTAGGATCAATACCTCAGCCGTGGCTGATCATTGATTCAATCTTGTGGGCACACATGTCATTGATTTTTTGAAGACAAAGGAACTCTGCAAGCCCACTGGCTATCAAGAAAGATTCGTTTATGAAGCCATCCAGATATATAAACACAGACACAATTTCAACCGAGAAGATGGATACAAACTGAGCAATCATTAGAAGGACGTTATCAACCGGTTTAAGTCATAACTGGCTGCGATGTTTCCATCCTACCTGCCGATGCTAGCGGTTATTTCCGCCTCTCTGAGTCACATAAACGCTAAATGTCTCACTAACACAGGCACCGTTGCTCCTTTTTCTCGATGTGGTGTTGTCCCTCGTTATTTTTGTTTTAACAAGCTGAATGTCTCGCTAATCTCTCGCAGTACAATGGCCACCTCCACAGCTGCGTCTTCGTCGTGGAGGGTCATCACCGATCTTACATTGACATGCAAATTCCACCTCTAGCCCCGCCCACCTACCCTTGGGCTGAGCCCATCTCAAGCCTCTATCACTTCGTGTTTCAGCAGCTCTCGCGCTGTATTTTCTCCTGCCTCGGCAGCTCTCTCGCTATATTTTTTCACCTGATGACGATTGCTTGTGTTGCGATCGAAAAGTCGTGATAATTGTATTATTTTTCTATCTACGTGGCTTTACCGAAAGACCCAAAGAATATAGGTGTCGGGTGGTGGAGGGCTTTAACGACACAATTTTGGCCAAATCGTTCGCCGGTGGTGATGGTGGTGATGCTGCATTGGCAGTGGCGCACCAGCGCAGCCAGCAATGCCGACAACAAAACTCGACACACACGCAATCGGCAACGTTAAATTTATTTTAATGATAGCGGTGAAGAGTTTTGTCAGTCGTTCAGATCTCTTAATATTTTCTGCAATGACCTATGTGTTAAACGTCATCAACCTGAATATATATAGTTTATATATATACATTGGGGGAGCCCTCATAATCTTGCGATGGCACCATCTGGAAAGCGAATTATAGATTTACCTGAAAAAAATCCAGAAAACAACAACAACCACCACCACCACGCGACGACCGCGTCGTGTCATGGTGCCCCGTGAGGGTTCATGCCAAAGTGAATCGAGCAGCACGTGACCATCATCAGTGACATTTTTTACGATGTCGCGCTCGTTACACACAAAGTGCTTTCCGCAAGTGCACCACAATAGGAGCATTGACCGTCACGCAAAGTCCCGGTCATTCTCGCAGCAGCCCGTCAAACAAAGACGGTCGCATGCATCGCGTGACGTTTTCAGGTGCGCTTCTGTGGCTCTTCTTTCCGATATTAGGAAGCCACTGGACCTATGCACTTTTTAATGTAAATTGAAAACTAATTTCTTTAAAAAAAATTCATTTCTATTTAGTTTGTTGTCCATCCCCCCCACCTCAGATTAAGATAGTTGGCTACGTAAGGTGCAAAAGAAGGTACACCAATTCCCGCCTTTCACCACTAGGTGACGTCACCAGGGCGCCTGTGCCAGGCCAGGTGCACTTTGAGGCCTCGTGAAGTGTTGAAGACTCGCTGACGGGAGGTCCTGGGACAGACCCAGGTGCCATGGATTGACTGACTGAGATGACTGGCACCAGCTGTACCCACGACTCTGCTAACTTACACACATACATATGATCGGACAACCGTGAACTGCGGCCGGTCTCGGGTGCTAAACAGGTGTCGAGGCTGGATAACACCTCGACGTGCGGCCGCCACACTGGGCATCCATGAAAAAGAGCTTCATAGCTCATCGGATTCTTCTCGCATAAATGACACACGTCGTTGTCGTCACAGGGCTTGGGGGAGAGAGGTTTTGGGGGGGTCACTCATTTGCAAGAGTGACCCTGGGGAATTGGTTTGCCAGTAGGGGGGCGATGATTGATGGCGTGTGTAGAATCTCAATTTGAGTAATTTGTGCGGGATGATTTTTGGAATTCGGTAAATTTGGACCCTGACCCCGGCACACGATGACGTCCGGGGATCTCCCGTGTCCAATGTGAAGCGGACTGTGACTAGTATTACCGTAGTTGTTACAGCTACGGTATTAACCAGGGCAGCCGCTGGAGATTCGAACCGCGAACCTCTACGCGCTACCTCACCACCGCTCTCAAGAGCAGCAAAGCGCAACGCTCTAACGCGCCGCGCTTCCAAGTCTACGCTCCGTACCTTCAGCAAGCCGCACCGAGTTGGACAGAGAGGTCGGGTCTCATGGAGGCAGCGTAGAGTAGGGCTGTGTCATGATGGTTGATGTTGAAGCTGGTTCTGATAGTTTTGTCAGGAGGGAGAGCGTGGGGGTGGGGGGGCGACGATGCAGCACTCGAGGGACACCGCGCAGCGCAGGAGGTGACATGGATACCGCTTTTTCCACCGCACAGCTGAACCCGAAAACTGCTGCCGATGTCGCGCAGATCGGGGACGCTGCCCCGCGTGTACTGACCACCGATGCAAAAGTGCTTCGAGAACGGTGAATACCGGCGCTGGCCCTGCTTGGCTCCGAGCCAGATTCAGACGTCTTTTTGGTTCTGACACAGCTCGGCAAAGTACCCGTAACCGCGAGGGAGCCCCGCCGCGTCGGCACGGCTCGGGTGTGGTGGTTCGCGAGTTGACCGTGCCGCACTCGCCATGTTCCCGTAGATGGCACGGAGCAGCAGACGCGCGACCGGCAGACGGGGAGCGACGTCACGGACTGGCGGCTGCCCCTCGCTGTGGTATCGTCGCTCACCTGCCTCTGCGTCATCCTCCTCATCGCTCTGCTCATCTACTGGAGGTGCATCCGCTCACTTGCCCCCCCCCCCACACCTGGCATGCGGAGCTCAGCGTTGAGCTCGTGCCGGCGGGCGTGGTGGCCTGGGTTCGATTCCCAACTTGGGCAGCCGCCCTTTCTGTGTGGAGTCTGTGTATTTTCCCCCTGTTCTGCAGAGTGATGTGTGTGCGATAGTGCGGAGGAGTGGTAGTGCAGCGGTGAGCGCGCTGCGCTACGAATCCGGCGGCCCGTGTTCAAATTCCTCTCACGACCAGCACCAGTGATGATTATCTGAACCAGTCCTGGACCTCCCTTAGGTCGCGACATGAGTACCTGGTGTGGTGTATAAACATCACCACTGGGGAGACTAATGTGGTCGGCCGTGGTGCTGGCCACCCACCCTCTCATGTGCCATGGCGGCCTTCATAGGTGCTCGCTTACAGCAGTTTGTTAAGGCTATACGAGGAATCTCTCTCTGTGTGTCGGTAAGAGTGAGTGTGTGTGAGTGATGTTTGCATGTTCTCCCCCTGTTCTGCATGGAATTCCTCGAGGTTCTCTGGTTTAAACCCATAGCTAAACACACAACCACTGAATAACTGGTATTAGCCAAAACATCCCATTACTGAAAAATTACCTGCTAATGACCCAATTGGGATCACACACAACTTGGCAGGACCCCCTTGAATAACAGTCTTGCGACTCAGTGAGACTTTTCCTGAGTAAACAAGCGGAGTAGTAAACAAAAACAAATATCATCCGCAAACTCACTGCGGGGGGTCTGGGTGGACACAGAGGCCAGTGACGGTTGTGCAGCCCTCTCGAGTGTACAGGCCGTGCAACTGCACCGCTGGCCCAGGGGGAGGAGGAGGGCCCAGGCAATGGGGAGAGTGGCCCATCTTCATTCCTGGCACCGGGCGAGCGGTCCTTTCTTTCTCTCGCCGTGTGTGGCAGGCACACGCACGCACTCGCGCGCACACACGTGTGTGCGTGGAGCGACAACCATCATTGCGTGAGTAAAACACACAGGGAGTGTGCGTGGTGAGGACACGCCATGGGTTCGCCACGTACTTCCACGGAAAGGGCAATTCCTCGCACGGATGTCCGCGGTGCCGCTTATTCATTCCTCCTCCTCCTTTGTCCCTTCTCGCACCTCAATTGAGGCTGCGCCAAGGGATGCGGGCTGGCTCCCGCAATCTAAAGGTTAAGAGATCACTTATTTGCGTTGTTAATATTCCCCACATAGATCACACTGTGAAGTGCAATTTCTTCGCTAGTTTTATTGCCCCGTGTTTGCCCGGCGTGACGAGTGAGCAACGCCTCCTTCCCCCCACAATAAAACAGGGAGCCTTGCGTCCCCCCATTGCCCGCCAGATGCCCCCAAATTTATTGTTTTTGGTGGGGGGGGGGGCACAAGGAGGGAGTTGGGCTGGGGGGCCCCGCTATAACTACCCCTCCCAATTCGCAATGTTTAGAATCAAAATATTTCTTTAGACTGGAAGAATCCCATGAGCTAAGAGGCTCTTTTTCACACAAGTCCTGTAGGGGCGGATTAGAAAGCCACAACAATGAATAATAACAAAAACTGATGGGAGTGCACAGTATAGGAAGTCTGAGGAAGTCACGAAATGAAAATAAATAAATCGATACATAATTAAATGCTAATTGCATAAGTGCATCAATTCCTGTTCCAACACCAAAATGCAATCTTGGGCAAGGCAGCAAAACAAAATCAGTCCGAAACCACACCAAGACAACACTCAGTCGTCCCCACAATGACATTGCACTAAAAAATTAGAACTATCGATATGTGGGTAAGGATCAAAGTTACAAATCACATTAGCAAATGTGGATGTATCCAGGACTAATCTTCTGCTTCAGAATATGATGTTGAGGGAGGAAACCAGGTTGTCCCTCAACGTTCTTGGGATAAGTTTAAAGGCAATTAGATGGACGCTGTATTGGTTTATTGGGTTTGACAATTTGGTTAATGAATGAGTGAAGTATAGCACAGATTTGTCAACTGGGATGTTATGGATGAACAGGGCCCAATGGAGGTTTCATCTCGCATCTATTAGTATGTGATTGGATTTTAAGTAGAGGTCACAATGGTGAGTCCTGTATGGTACATCCAGTGCAAATCGAATAACAGAATGATAGTTCAGTGATTCAATAGGAGCAGATCTGTGAGCAGTGTCACAGTAGTCAAACTGGTAGAGCGATAGCTTCAACAATTTGCAGGTGCAATCGAAAGAGAAAACAATGTTTCTTTCAGTATAAAACCCTATTTTTTTTATTAGATTTTCTTTGAGATGTGATCAATATGGGGTTGGAATGTAAGTTTTTAATCAATCAGTAAAACCCAAGCATTTGAAGCACTCTGTGTTTTTAATGATATTGTTGCTGATATCCGTAATAGGTGAAGAGAATGAAACTCGATTTTTGTCTTCAGAAAAGAGCATGGTCTTATTTTTGGGGAGATTTAGGAGCAATTGTCGTGATGGCAATCGATGTGGAATTAGTTTGAAATCCTGTTGGAGATTCGGTTTGACTTTGGAGATGTTCCTTATACTAGCATGACAGTGTCATTCGCAAAGAGATTTAATTCTGAGTGATTCAACTTTAGTCCAAGATTGTTTAAATATAATAACAGATTTGGACCCAGCATGAAACCTTGAGAGAACACCCTTTGTTATTTTAATATTTCTTGACGAGATGTTATCACTATGCACCGTTTGAGAATGTCTCGAGAGGTTGCTCTTAAACCATTTCATCGTACTGTCTGAAAATGGTCATTGACCAAGTCTTGTGAGTAGAATGTAGTGGTCAACAGTATCACGGGCTCTTGACAAGTCGAGGAATACTGCACAGCAGCAGTGGCCTTTATCCAGGTTTCTGAAGAGAAAATGTAATAATACATCCATCATCGCTGTGGTGGCGCAGTGATGCTCTCAAACACCAGACGGTTTACTGTGCATGAGATTGTGACTTCTTAGGTCGCAGTTTATTCATGATATAAGTATTTTTTCGAATAGTTTAGTAACTGTGAAAGAATAGAGATTGGTCTGATTATTAGGGTCTTCTCCGGAGCCATTTTTATATACCGGACGAATACGAGCGGATTTCCACTCTTGGGGAAATGAGCGGTTGACAATTTGTGTGTGGGTGGTTAATAATTGGGACGTGCCACAGCCACACGTGCAAATGCAGGTAACTAATCCTCTCCCGTGGATGTCGATGTCTTCATTGATAGTAGCTTTTGCAGTACATCCAGTTCAGATATGGGACTAAGCTAAAAGTATGGTCGATGACTTTCACTAAAACATTTTAAGTTGGTGTGTGCAGAGGTGAGTGATGTGAACGGTGGTGAATTTGGAGAAGGATAATGCCCTGCCGATTCAAAATGTGAATTAAATCCATTGTCTTTTGAACAAATCGTCCCCCACTGCAGAGGGGGGGGGCATCAAGCCCAGCTGCCTCCCCCCCCCCCCTGGGGCGGGAGGAGGGGAGGACAGAAAGGAAATAAAAATGTCAGGCGCGTAGTTTTATGGAGGGGTGGTGGGGGAGCGGTGACACCACGGCGTTCCGGGGCGCCGGAGCGGTTGGCAGCGACGGCGCCGATGCCCTCATTCCCGAAGCGGGAAATCTCTGCCGTGAGGACCGTGGGGGCCGTGGCGGCCGTGGGGGCAGCGTTGTTGCTCGGCTTCAGCGCCGCAGGGAGGGCCACGTGGAGACGTTTGTCTGTCCATTCAAATATTTCACGTGGACAATCCCTTGGGATGGAACATCTCCTGTGCAAGGGTGTCGATTGTGACACACACACAGCCAACACGCATACTGACACATACACACACAGCCAACATGCGTACTGACATGTGCACACACACACACAGCCAACACGCGTAGTGACACGTACACACACACAGCCAACACGTATACTAACGCGTGTACACACACACACACACAGTGTACACCCTCTGCAAATCTGTAACTTACACGGTCCGCATTCGTACAATGAACGTCGCACCTTATCAGATGCACAAATGAGTGAACGATGATGCGCTTGTTATTAATCGGCGTGCACATGCCGCTGGTTCTTGCCGACTCGAGCTGCCGGCGTTTAGGGCTCAACGATTTGGGGAAAATATCTAATTGCGATTTTTCTGACAGATATTGCGATTTGATTTGCGATTAGATTTTTTAAAGTCAAGCTTCAGTTCAATATTCACTGTGTAATAGATTTAAAACATGTGATGGAGCATTACCACATGATACCATCAAAATATGAACTGCTCTATATATTATAATGCACGGATGAGAACTTAAAATAATTTAATTGCTTCCAACATGTATTTATTAACATGTTTTAATTGAAATAGAACAATCAAACATAGAACAATTGTAAACAATTCCAAGAAGAAAGTAATAGGACTTTTCAAATCGCAAAACATCGCAGCCTTTGCGATTTGCTAATCGCATTGTTTCAAATTTCGATTTCGATTTGAAATCGATGAATCGTTCAGCCCTGCCGGCGTTGCCCACGTTGGGTGTCGCGCGAGAGAGCTTTGATGGGAGCGTCGAGACGAGCAGAGACTGGCGGAGGGGGGGCGCCACGCCGGAGAAGAAGAAGCGGCTTTGTGAGTGAGCGGGGGGTGGGGGGGGCATCGTTTTGGATTTTGGGCCCAGAGGGGAGTAAAACAAGCCGTCCAGCAACCCGGACAGGAGATCCACACATCGGCACACCACATCCACAATACCTCTCACGCTGGCCACGAGTAGCGTGCCACCTGTTCCGGTACTCCAGCGACCCGGTAGAGTACCCAGTGAGAGATGAATCCCCCGGGGGGTAACGGCTTCACTCCGCCCGACCAGGTGATGTTTTGTGCGTCCCAGAGCCACGACGTGGTCCAGGAATCCGTTCTCTTTTGCAGCGAACGCCGTCGCGACTGCAGCGGCCACCAGCGCGCACGCCGACTCTGCCGATCTGGGCAGCAGGCACGCGATTTGGTCAAACCCTGCCACTGCGCCCCGATGTTAATAGAGCAGACATTTCATCTGAGCGTATATTGTCGTGTCTACAATTGTGTCGTTCTAGGATCGTGTCGTTTTAGAATGCTGTGCAATGGCACGATTAGCTCTGACGCTTGTTACACGGTAGCTAGGGGGATACAAACAAAAATGTTGGCCTGCCGGATAGGTCGGCGGAGTCAGCAAGTCCGAGGTCGCGACCGCAGAGGTCACGTGAACCCATCGGCACGAGGAGTCCGGCAGGCCACCCTGGTCATTACTACGGGTGCTTTAACCACAGACTACTACGCGTCGTCTGCTTCACAGTGGATGTGAATGATTCCGTAAGGTCGTTCGAAAAGAGGCAGCCGTTGTGTGTGCCGGCAACAACGTTGCCCCCTAAGACAGTCAGTGTCTGCGGCGGCTTCTTTCGCGATGATCGCCCCCTGCACTACGGGGAACTACGGCGCCAATGATAACGTGCGCGCAATTATCGAACAGCGTTGTTACGCGCACTGAAGGAGCGGCATTGAAGTGGTGCCTCGTCACGGCGGCGGCACCGCTCCGCTCTCCCCCCCACCTCTAATTGGCAAAACACCTCAAAGCCAGCGCTGAATCAGCGCTAATCTGCTGCCCGAGAGTGATCGAGCCGTCGAGTCCGGAAGACCCAACAGGGGGCGGTCGTTGTGATAAAAAAAACGAATAAAACTCTTTTTTATTTTACCAGGTATGGCCCCACTGAGCTATATAATAATTTTTCAAGAAGCGACCTGGCTATCACAAATGGTAGCTCAACTCAAGTGGCTTATCATCGCGTGGACATTTACAGCAGCCAAATACTCCCTAAACGCGTGACGTTGATTCTAAACGTGGAGGGGAAACCCAGAGGATCTGGAAAAAAAATCCACACGAACACGGAGAGAAACACCGCAAACTCCAACTCACAACCTCCTGTATACCAGGCGAGGTAGTTAACATCTCTCCACCGTGGCGCATCGTTTCTATTAGCGCGGCCGGACTTACACCCTCCCAGCTTCACAGCAGCACCTCCCCCCCCTTTGTTCTCCCCTCCCCCCCGCCCCCGCCTATTCTTTCTCTATTCGTCCCGGGCGGGAATGAACCCCGAAATCAATCACCCGGGAAATGTCATTCTGCAGATCGGCACCACCTGCTCTCCGCGAGGAGCTCGCAGAAGCGATGAGCCGGCGGTTCTGGGCGCGCGGCGCGAGGGGGGGGGGGGGCCGAATTAGGCGGCGGTGGGAGCTGCGAGGTCACGGGCGGGAGGCGGGGGGAAGGGTACCGCCTCCCGCCCCCTTCCCGCCTCACCTCATTACCCTCCTCGCAGATTACCGGCAGCGCCGCCCCCACGAGGCACCCGCGCTGAACATGCCCGCGCGGTCGCAACAGGTTTTTTTTTTTTCGGAGGGGCGAGCAAGGGGTTGAGCTTGGCTGGTACTTGGACGGCCGACTGCTACCAACACCACGAGGGCTTGCCAGGCGTCGCAGGCGTGCGGGGGGTGCGAGGAGTGGCCAGGAAGCGGCGCTGCCGAGTGTCATCACCCGCTCACGTGCAACAGCAGCGCGGCGCTGGGTTTTCCCCGGGTTCTCCGGGTTCTTCCTCCTCCCCACGTGAAGCCAAACGCTCACCGCTCGTGGAATTCACGACCAATTGTCCCAGCGTGGCAGCAGCCCTCTTACATCCTGTCTTGCAGAGTCAGCGGTTGAAATTCCCCCATTCTTATGATGGGTGGGTGAGGGGCAACCTATCCATCGTACGACCACTTTCCCCACCAAGTGGTACTCATGTCACAGTGAAGATGGGCCGATTCACCCACCCGATCCGGATCTGACCTCACGACCTTCTCATTGTGAGCCACTCACTCTCCCTTCGAGCCGCGGTCCTGGCTTAGCGGCACTGAAGCTGAGAGAGGTCACCATGAGTCGGGGTCGTTGTCGATTATGAAGAATGCCCCCCCTCGGGGTCAGAGACTGGGCGACCCCGCCCCCCCCCCCCCAGGGCAAGGGAAGGGAGCTGGCGGCAGGATGGCTCACCGCCCGTTTTCCACTCTACCGCCCCCCCCCCCCCCCCCCCCCCGAGCGACGCGGGCAAGCGACCTCCTGGACCTTGCGGGGCGCTCCAGGAGGACGGCGCCAGGGCCGGCAGCACCGTGCGGATTTACACTCCCCTTCTATTTGCAGATGGCGGCTTAATTAGGGCAATTACGCCTAACGATCGCCAATTTGTTTCCGATTTGCGGTGTTGTCCTGCAAGCGACGGTGGGAAATACATCGGGGGGAGGCGTGGCACGAGCGGAGTGAGGTAAAAAAAGGACAGGGAGAAATGGGCCCCGCTACCGGCGTCGCGCTCCTGTCGCGACGCAGGGGGATGGCGCGCACCGTGCCGCGATTGCCGAGAGGGCTCCGGCCTCCAAGGCCTCCGCGAGCGCTCCTGCTACGCGCGTGGCTTGCGTCGGGTCTGGCGGTGGCCCGTCCGGAGACAGCCGCCCGCTTCCTCCGCACCGCCCGCTTCGTCCGTCCGCACGAACGAAGCTCGTTGAACAACGTTCTAGCGACGTCGCGATTTTCCTTCCCGCTCATGCCCTCTCACCACCACCATCTGCCCATTAACCTCCTTCGGCTCAATTCCCTTCACTCTGGCAGCAGTAGCAGAGCGGTCCTCGTGCGCTGCGTTGTTGACGTTTCTCCTCGTTTTTATCGGGGATGGTAGTGTAGCGATTAGTGCGCTGCGCTGCAAATCCGGCGTCAATTTCCGCTCTTGGCCAACACCAGTGACGATTATCTGAATCGGTAATGGGCCTCCCCTAGGTCGACTCAGCCTCAAAATGAGTACCTGGTGCAGTGTATAAACATGGCCACTAGGCTGACAAAGGCGGTCGCGTGTGGTGCAAACAGCACTTGCCCCAACAGCCTGTGAAGGGCCACAAGGGGGATCTTTGTCTATGTGTGTGTGTGTACGCATGTTACGTCTAATCCGGTGTGCCAGCGAGTGCCTCCTGGCCTCTCATGGCTTCACACGATTCTCTCCGCTCATTGACTAACAGCTGCGCTGTGCTGATGAGACACATTAACGTCGTTGCCATTACGAGCATATGCCACTGAGGTACGTGCGGCATGTCCACGGGAGATGCGGCGCGCGCATGTGTGTGTGTGTGCGTGCGCGTTCTTGAGTTTCATCCCTGGTGTGTGTTGATGAGTTTCAACTCTGGTCACCAATCCCGGGCCTCGCCTAGGTTGAGCACCTGGTACGGTGTGTAACCGTCACCACTGGGGAGACAAAGGCGGCCGGATGTGGTGCTGGTCACGCTGCCCCCCTCGACCGCGGCACGCGTCTCAATAGGCGCTACTCGCGAACAGTACTTGCCCCATCGGTCCGAATGTCTACACGGGGTGTCTTTGTCTTTATGTGCCGGCGATTGCAGGAAGTGTTTCCAGACGGCTCACCTCTACATCGACGACATCAACTCCCCCCGCGTCGTCCCCCCATCCTCCCTGCCCTTTCTCCCCTTCCCAGGTACACCACACACATGCACACAAACACACAAACGCACATTGACACACACGGATGCACACGCACACACGCACAGCAACGCTATTTATCCTCTCTGCTCCCTCTACTCTCTGCTCTCTCCTCTCTGTTGCTCCCTCTCCTCTCTACTCTCCCCCCTCTCTCTGTGCTCCCTCTCCTCTCTGCTCCCTCCCCCTCTCTCTTGGCTCTCTTCTCTCTCACCCTCTCTCTGTGCTCCCTCTCGACTCTGCTCCCTCCCCTGCCACTCGCTCCCCCCCATCGCCCTCCCTGATCCCTCTCCGTCTGTCTCTCCCTCAGAAGAGGTGGATGGAATCCCAGTCAAGCAGTTTCCAAAACACGTGGCAGAGCTCCAAGCCAGTGGATCAGGATTTGCATCTGAATTCGAGGTTTTTGTTATTCTCCGTATTTTTTTCCTGAGGAAACATTGTTCGACCGTAAAGCATGTGCATTTTTTTTTATTTGGCACACGCAATACTGCATTTAAAATGATACACTTGCCAGTGTGTGTGTGTGTGCGCGCGTGGGAGAGATCTGGACACAGTCCCATCAGTGAGCTCCTCCGGCAAGCGAGGCTACGTTGGCTGGGTCGCGTAGCCTTCATGCCCATCCACCGCATGCCCAAGCCGGATACAGGAGGGGGGCATTGTACGGGTTAGAGACAAGATGGGCTGATGCGGTACAGTGGGATGTGGAGCTGAGTGGACATGCTGATGACTGGTCCCAGAGATGTCAAGATCGGCCTTTGTGGAGGAGACTCGTTGAAGGACGCTCCTGGGAAGTGCCAAGCACAGGTGCACTATGACTCTCCTGGCCAAATGCACGCAGTCGCCCTCCCGAAAGAACGGAGGGCAGAGGAGTGACCTTCACAGCAGTGAGTGGAAAAAAAAACGGCGTGGCACAGTGGGGAGCACAGGGGGTGCATCTACCAGTCATCCAAGTCGGTCAACTCATGGCACCTGGGTCTGTCCCTTCATCTGCCAACAGCGAGCCGTCCACACTTCACGTGACGGCCTAACACTGCACCTCGCATGGCACAAGCGCCGTGATGATGTCGGCGTCACTTAGTGGCGAAGGGCAGCTGCTCTTGTGTTGTCCGTGTGTCTGGATCTGTTGTGTCTCCGTGTCTTTGCGTTGCTTAGCGGCTGCTGTTGCCATGCGCGTGTGCCCGTGTTGCCGTGCGCTGCAGGAGATCGAGCGTAGCACTCTGGACTTCGGGATCCCCACCGACGACGGGAAACAAAAACCTCGCTACATCAGCAACATGGCCGCCTGTGAGCTCTGCCACTCTCCCTCACTTCCCCAAGGGCGTCTTGGGAGCAGCGCCACGGGTGCCTGGCACGTGGGATAGATCTGACGCAATAGCACTCTATAAAATCATTGTCATCAGCAGCAGCAGTAGCAGCAGCAGCGATAACAACATCATCGAACAGCATCAGTATCATCAGCAGTAGCAGCATCATCATTGTCTTTGCCGTCATCATCGCCGTGCAGCCATATCACGTTTTTATCCTCCCCGTTGAAGTATGGTCATCACGGCCCCACGGCCCACGTGGCATATAGGAGGTCTTCATCCTGCAGTGAATTGACAGTAGGACTGTATATGTACCTATATAACAATTAAACCAAATGATGGTGGTGGAGAAGATGACAATCTTCCCGTGTTCTCCACTTGGTACATGGAGAAGAGTAGGGAGAGGTGCATAGGAAAGTCTTGAGCCTGGACCTGAACAGGGGCCAGGGAGTAAGGAGACAGCACAGATGGCTGGGTGACGGTTGTTGCAAACCATGGGAGCAGCAGAGGAGAAGAAGGAGCGACCCCACCACACAGAGTCAAGGTCGAGGGCCTTCCAGAGATTCCTGAAGACTCTGGACAGCCTCCAGATTCATCAGTGACAACAACAACAAAAAGCAGGCCCAGTGTGGGGCGCCCTGTTTTGTGTGAGCACTTGCGGAGGGAGTTATTTATTTGCGGAAGATCCTTCCCAGCTCGACTGAGCTGTGTGTGGGGGGGTGTGGGGTGCGGGCGGAGGGCAGGGGCGGGTGAGCTGGGGGGCCGAGTGATTGCAAAATAAATCTTTTACAATTCTGCCCGCGACACCAGCGCAAAACGCACGGAGAGTCCCCCGACCTCGAAGCCAGCGACAGCGCACCCACGGGGGGGGGGGGGGGGGGGGGGGTTGGGTCGTTCAAGGCCGCAGAGAAGATGCATCCTTGAAGAAGATGCATCCTCGCCAAACCCGGCCGCGCGTCATCCCCGCGCGGCGCTCGGCGCGCGACGACGGCGGAGGGCGAGGACCGGAACGGAATCTCCCCCCCACGCGAGCGCCGCGCGTCAACCCGCACGGGTGGCTCGGCTGCCATGTAAATCCGAGCGCGCCCACGCACGTGAGCGCGCGTGCGCTGAGTTTAATCGCATTAACGAGCGCTCCGCTCCAGTGATCGCACACAATAAATAGCGCGGAATATCACTCCGCGCGCGGCTTTTATCGCCGTACATTTTAGCTGCGGCTGTTAATCACGGAGCGGTCTCGCGGATGCGGGGCGGAAAGCCGACAGTTGGCAGTGCAGCAGTGGATTCTCACAACCGTCTGCGTGGTTATCCCCTTCGTATGGGCATCGGGTTTTCTCCGAGTTTTCCGCTTTCCTCCGACTTACGAAGCAAAACTCTCAGTCATGGAATTCGTCAAACATACCAATGTAGCAGGACCATCCTGAAAACGAGACTGTGTTGTACTCAGATGCAAGCAAGGACTGTGAATAATGGAGACAAGCGTGGAGAGGCAGTGCATTGGTCATGGCTGATGATGATGATATACTCTTAGTGTTTGCGGGACAAATTCTGGTCACCGCCATAGGAATGTAGAATTTTCAGCACCGACTCAGGACCATCACTTCCAATGCTCGTTCGAGCAGAGGGAAGCTCCGGAGTAAATAAGGATGAGACAACGGCCTAAGACGATGATAACGACGTTGATGATGACGACGACAATGGATGATTGATGATTCAGGGCGGTGAGTCAGCCCAGCGGTAGCACGTTTGCCGCTCGTGGCAGGCCGCCCTGGTTACTACTGTGGGTGTACGAATCGCAAAGTACTGCATGCCTCCTGCTTCACGGTGGACGTTACAGATCCTCCTTGACGCCATCCGAAATGAGCCGGCCATCGCGTGCCGGCGTCATGGTCCAAACGACCTGCAGACTTGATCCCACCGGGATTTTGCGCAGCGAAACAACCGCAGACTTGCAAAATCCAGCACGGCCTTCCCTCTTGGTGACGGAGACCTATGCTGCTGTGAGATTGACACAAATATCAGATTCACAAACTCGTTGTTCAATGGTCATTATTGACAACAACAGATGCGTTCAGATAAGTGGAAGGCAAGCTGGCAGGACTCGGGGGCCGTATTTAGGAGTGTGCTTCGCTCCTGTCCGTGGGCAACGCTTACATCACTTGCCCAAAAACTATGATAAGGTTTACGAGGGATCTTTGTGTGTCTATCGTGGTGGGCGGTCGTGTCATGGATAGTGCACCGCGCTACTAGTCCAGTGACCTCAGTTAAATTCTCGGTCGCTGCCATCACCACTGACATTTTTCTGATGCAGTGCTGGGCCTCCCCTAGGTCGAATCAGCTGATGTGATGCGTAAATATCGCCACTGGGGAGACAAAGGTGGCCATCAGTGCTCGCGAAAGGGCATTGGATACATGTGGTTTCTTTGTCTTTCTCTTTGTGTGTCGCAGATGACCACACACGCGTGCGTCTACGCACCCCGCCGGGCCGCGATGGCAAAAGCACGGAGCTCATCTGCGCCAACTACATCGATGTACGACGCACGCACGGACAGACGCACGCACGGACAGACGCCGCGTTGCATAAGACACGCGCACGCGCACACACACACACAATGCGTGGAGCGCTGTTATCTGTTCGCAAGCTGAGGGTGTGTGACCCTGGCCTTCCACGCTCTGCGGCAGGGGTTTAACCGCCCGCGAGCGTACATCGCCACGCAGGGACCCGCGCGTCCCGCCTTCGCCGACTTCTGGCAGATGGTGTGGGAGCAAAACGTGGGCACCATCGTGATGCTGTCCGGCCCGGGCGAGAGCTTCGCCGGCAAGGTGAGAGAGGCTCGCGACACCACGCCCGCCCGAGTTGGCCGCACCCAGAGGACACGGGGCGGCCACTACCCACGCCGGCAGCACCCAGGCACGCGGGGGCCCCCGGCCACACCCGTTCACCCAGACACACAGGGCCTGGCCACATCTGCCCCAGCCACACCCAGATGCACATCTCGACCGGGCACACCTTGTGACCAGCACACCAAATCCCGCCACACACACACACAGGGGGTATGTGACCCGGGGGTCACTGGCCACACCCAACGCAGCCCGGTCGTGTGGCCCGCACCCTTCCTTGCACAAGCAAGGGTGCCGCTCGCCAGCTAAGAGGCGGTGCGACGCGGTCAATGCTAAATTTTACCGAGCGGCTGAGTAACGGCGCGGTCCGCTTTTGTGCGTCGTGTTCGTCAATAACGCCGTTCTCGGTGAGAAGGAGAAAAGGGACAAGAAAAAAAACAAAAAGAGCAATGGCCCTTCGTGAGCGCGAGGGCCATTGCTTGAAATGCCATCCATTGTGCGTTTTGTCTATTTCCCTTTTAGGGCCACGGGGCGCTATCGCCCGAGTGTGTTTTTGTTGTCCGCATGCCACTGCCCACGCAATGACAAAAAAAAAAATCGTCCGCTTTGTTTATCGCGCATTCTGCTTCAGCTATTGTCTGGGGTTGAACCCACGACCACTTGCACACCAGGTGAGAGAGTTGACATCTTCTCGCGACCGTGGTAGCGCGGCTAACCGCCCGCTGCACTACCGCTTCCCATCGCAAACACACACCGACGTACGAAGCTGATGCAGACTCACCGTGGAAGCTGAGGGTGTCAGCCACTCGGCAGCAGTTCCCGGTGGCTGCTGGGTAGATTACAGACAGGATCCGCGAAGTCCTCCCAGCTCTCCATCGTGGGTGAGAGGCGTTCCCTTGCTCTGTGGCTCCACCTAACCCACGCCGACCACCGTTCTGCTCCCGGCTCGCGACCGAGCCCCGCTGACCGTGCAGTGACGGCCGCCATGCGTCGGCAACGATCGGCCCGGATGGAGAAAAAAAAACACGGACTCGAGTATTTCAGGATCTTTTGGTCCAAAATGTTTCCAGGGGTCTCTTCTCCACATCCAAACGTCGTGGGGGTGCCCAGATAGCCCGCGATAGCAGCTGCTCACACCCCCATCATCACGCTCCGAGTCTCTCGAACCCCCCCTCACCCACCTAAAGAAGTAAAACACACTGCAAGGTCAGGTTTTGGATTTTACAAAGGTGGTGGGGTAGGCTTAGCGAGAAAAGGGCGCGCCATTGTGTGCCGTGAAATCCGATGTGGCAAGTTTATTATCGGCTTAGGGGCGGCCTTGCTGCGGAGTGAAGGGCGGGCCACGGTGGGGGCCGTGGGGGAGGCCCCCTCCCCCGGCGACGCCACGTGCCAAGCGCTCGCCGCCACTAGAAGAGTTCCTGCCGTCCGCGCCCGGAGCGGAGAGAGGATTCACGTGCGCGGCGAATGTGTGCCCCTGGGGTGCCTCTGTGTGTGGGTTCGCCTCTGTGTGTGGGTGCGCCTCTGTGTGTGTCCCCACGTCAGTGTGTGTGTGTGCGTGCGATGGGGAGAGGTAGTGCAGCTGTTTGCGGAGGGACGCCACGGTGGCTAGGTGATGTTATCTCCCTCGCCTGCTATCCAGGAGATCGTGGGTTCGATCCCAGCCCTGAAGCCTGTATAATTGGATACTCTTAGATTAACATAATGTTCGTACATTATGTACGTACATGATGTGCATACATTATGTATCTTGATTACCTGTGAATAACCCAACCAATAATAGATATCCATTGTAATTTTTATGACTTTATTAACCCCTCCTCTGGTCTTCACACCTCATTGGGTCACAGTGACGGCATCAGATTTACCCCCTCTATTTAACATCAAAACAGGAGGATTTCTCCATGTCTGGCTGTCCGCCTGGTGATGCTGGTTGTTTTAATTACCGGCGAAACGTCACGGTACTCTAATTGTAAATGTCGTTTGTTTGCTCTCCAACACACAAGCGGTGTGCTGAATAGTAACTAATCGGCAGGTTCTGTTCACGTGACAACCCTTACTAATTGGCTGTGTCAGGTGGTGGCGGGTATAACGACACATTTTTATTTACATGTTCTAATCCAAAAAACCTGCATGTTCTCTCTGTCGTCACGTGGATTTTTTTCCGGTCCTCCGGTTTTTCCTTCTACATTTAGAATCAACATACGTTTAGAGTATTTGGCTGCTATAAATTCCCACGTGATAAGCCACTTTGTTGGCGCTATCATTTGTTGCCAGGTTGCTTATGAAAAAAAGCTGTATAGCTCAGTGGGCCTGGTAAAATAAATGTAGTTTTAGTTTTTCGATTTTCACGCTACGCTACAAACCCAGCGACCCAAGTTCGATTCCCGCTCACGGTCAACACCGGTGACGACTATCTGAACCGGTTCTGGGCTTCCCCTTAGTCGATTTAGCCTCAAATGAGTAGCTGGTGCGATGTGTAAACATCGCCGCTGGGGAGACAAAGGTGGCCGGCCATGGTATTGGCCACCCACCCCCTCATTTGCCGTGCTGGCCCTTCAAATGTGCTACTCGCTAACAGCACTTGCTCCCACAGTTCGTTAAGGACTATACGGGGGCGTGTTTGTCTTTGTGTTTGCAATCCTAAATCCGCGTGGTGCTGCCACAAGATGCGAAGTCAAAGCGTCTAAAGTGATTTCCTGCTCAAATGAGCGTTAAGTCGCTTAGTTCACAGTTGATTGCGCTAATCACTCTGCCACCGCTCCACCCCTGCACTCCTGCGTTTCGATATATGGGCTTGTGGCCTTGGGAAGCTGCTCTTGGAGCAGAGCGTTCCTTTCTTCTCCACGCGAGATTTCAATCGAAAAGATATGATGGGAGGGAATTCCAAAGTGTAGCGGTGAGAGAGAAGAGACAGCGGAGAGAGAAAGAGAAGTGACTTGCAGTGCGGTGATTGAGTTCATAAATGAGTATGTGAGTGGGTGGGTGAGTGAATGGGTGGGTGGGTGGATGAGTGAATAGATGAGCAAATGGGTGGGTGAGTGAATGGGTGGGTGGATGAGCGTGTTGTTGTGACCTGCAGTGTGTGATGGTGGCGGTGGTGGTTGAAAGATGGTGTCGATTATGAGACGGAACAGTCGGTGTCTGGTACACCTGGCGAGGAAACAACCAGTGAAAGTTCACGGTAGTAGCGATAGAAGAGTGATAAGGAGGCGAGTGACCGCGAGTGACTCAGCAACAAGGCAAACGCTCGGTGTCCCAGGGGGGCGGTCCAGCGCTGGGAAGGAACTGCAAATTCCCGTTCGCTAATTTATGGTGATATTTAATGATTTAGTCTGATGAAAGCGGCCTTTGTCCTGCGGGCGCCTTCCTCGCTCGCCGCTGCGTGGTCACATGACTCCCACATAGTGGCATTTCACCCCCTCCCGGCCGGCCGGCATGGAGCGGCAGTGTTTAATTCTTCACGGCGTGCTGTCCTAATTAAATTACGTTTTCATTTTTTGCAACCTCGGTTGCGGTCGAGAGTCGCGGGACACTTTTTGCCTGGGCTCCCCACGGTTGTTTTTTGCCTCTCAGTGTCACTTCGCCGCTCGGTCTGCTGCGAAGCGCTTCTGGGTGAGAGGCCGTCCTCCTGACCTCTGATCCCACCTTGAACCTCACCCCCTCTGCTCACACCTTGAACCTCGCCCGGGCTCATTCAGTCCAGCGACGACGTATCCAGTTATTTGAGCAATCGGTTGCTCTACCGATTGTTCGAGCGATCGTCAGTTCGATTGCTCGACAAATCAGGGAAACGAAGAAAAGTCTTGCCTCTGCTGGACGGAACGTGCTGGGCAGGAGTCGGTGGAGGTTTCCCACCTTCAATAGGCAGGCTATCAGGGGCGTCCACCATTTTCACATTGTAACCTTCACTCGAACAATGGACTGAATCGTCCCGGGTGAACGCTTGGTACGACCAAGCCACAACGGGGCACTTTGTGGGCAGTGACTCACAAACCGCCGCCATTAAATAACGACGCTCCATTGGCGCTCCGCTCTTCAGCGCCGCTGCGGTGTCTGCGGGAGCCATGTCGCCAGGGCCGCCACTGCCACCAACGACACCGCCACCGCCACCACTGCCACCACCACCATGGCCGTCACCACCTCCGCCACCACCACCACCGCCACAACAACCACAGCCACCACCACAGCCGCCACCACCTCTGCCACCACCACCGCCGCCACCACAACCACCACCACCGCCACCACCCTCACCACCGCCACCACCGCCGCCTCCTCCACACCATCATAATTCATATTTCACCAGATCATTTTCGTTGAGATTTCCCATCGCAACTCCGGCTGTCCCCCCACCGCTCGCCACGGTAACGCGCGGCGATGGCATCTCTCTCTCTCTCTCACGTGTTGGCCCTTCGCGTGCGCGTCCCTTGGCCCGTCGAATCATTGGGCGTTATTGAACAAAAACGGCTGAATTAACGCCGTCGCTCGCGCTCAACTTTTTTTTTATGCAATTTCCTTTATTTATTTTATAGCTGCCGGCAAAATAAAGCACGAGCGCTCACTCGGGGCCCCGCTGCGCCGTCTAACGGTCTCACTAACGCTGTTTTATTTTCGAATGCGCTCGCCGCGCTAGGTTGTTGTTTGTTGGTTTTTTTGGCACGAATACCTTGACGTTTGCGTTTGCGCATGGGGAATTGTTCCCACAGCTGGGCCCTTCTTGGCGACGTTAGATTAATGCAAATTTTAATAAATTGCGTTAACGCAGCCTCGCTCCCGTGACCGCACACGGCGTGCTACGCCGGGGCGACGCGCGCGCAGCCCGACAGAAATCTGTGGCAGCACTCGCTCCGAGAATCCTCGGAAGCTCCTACCAGCTACTCGCAAATGCACAAACCTGCCGTTCGGTGACCGCGCATCATCACCGCCACCACCGTCATCATCACTCAATGTTTCTTTTTACCGCGCCTCCCAAAAGCAATACGCCC